CAGCTGTGTTAAGCAATACTGTTATATATGCTAGAGTGTAACGTACTACAAATTAATCCTTCTGAGAAGCGGTGAGATTATATAATCTGCAGCAATGTTTATCACACTTTTCAGAGGAGATATTAAAGCGGAAAAAGAGTAATAGAAATTGACTGGAATAAAAAGCAGAAGAGTAAATAACAGGGCTAGGACAATGGGTTGGTCTCAACTATTTCTTTTCAAGATCTAGGGTTCTTTTCTAAAGTAGTAATGTTTCCCTAAAAAATAAAAGGTTACAAATATTTTGGTAGCTGTGAAGCGGTCTGTTGGCTAAACTGTGGTGTAATATCAGGATTTTTAGAACTGTATTTTACATCTAGGAGTTTCCTTTCCTCTTCATTATCAAGTGCAAATAAGATTTTCAGGAATGGTATTTGCAGAGGGAGGGGAGCCAGAGTCCACAGCTCACACGGGGCTATCACAGTACAACACTGCTCCTGAAGAACTGCTGTATCACTTCGCCAGGCTCCAAGCTCAGCAAGGTACCCCAGAAATACAGTGCCCAGAGGCTTCTTTGAAACACAGCATCTGCTCAGCCCTTCTCCATATCCCCCCTCTCCTCCTCCCCAGCCATTTTGAGGGCTTTTTTTTTTAGCTATTTGCTAGCTTCCAGCAAAAACAGGAGTTGCAACGATCTGGAGGAACTGCAGATTATTTGCCACCGTGGGAGCATAGCCCAAATGAGAATACATCAAGCTTAAAAGTCTGTAAAGCAAAGGGATGTGGAGGTGTAAAAACCAATTACAGCTTCCACCCAATTGGGTTCTGTAATTTGTTGCACTAATGAAACATTTCTTTTAAGTGGAAAACCTTTGAAGAATACTAATATAATAATTAATATTCAGGTTACCTAGGGAACCTAAGACTCTACTGACTGTAGCTAGAAGAGCCTTTGCAGAGGAAGCTACCCAACACTGCTTTTTTTCTAGAGCTTTAAGAACGATGCTTCCAGGCAGCAGTGAGATTATGTCACCTCTCTTTCCCAGTTTGCATCAATCCTCTCTAATAACTACGAAATCCGAGGACTTGCTTTGTCTAAAACAAGTTAGAGCTGATGTAAATCTGAAAAAGGAGGAAGAAACCAGGTGAGGGTAGTGTCAAAAGGATTATGTGAAGAAGCTAGATGATTGTAGAGCCATAAAGAACAAGAGAAATAATAATAATAATAAAAAAAAAGAATAAGAGAAGCACAGCTGAATTGTATAAAGGAAAGGTCTGAATAAAAACTTTAATATTTCTCTATTTGTCAGTAGCATACACATAAGTGTTGGTGAAGAGTTTCCCTGAATTGCTTTTAGTAGGATGCCATTTATACCAGTAAATTAACAGCATTGCTAGGTCTTCTGCTATATGTACGTCGCCTTTGCGAGCATCAGGTGCTAAGGAACTCCTTAGCAGGGGCTGACAAACAATTACATGGGGCACCCCAAATCTTAACTAGATTGCTGGAGCAATGAACCAAGTGCTTGCACAAGTTTCTCCAAGGTTAGCCTCAATCTAGCAGTGCTGATGTCAGCATTACAGATACTGAATTAAATGAAGCTCTAAGAGCCTGACTGGGGCTGCACAAAAATCCACCACAGAAGAGAGATTGTGGGTATGGGAGGTATTAAAGAGGACATCATGGCTTGTCCTTGCCTCATGATTCTTTTTGACTTTGAGAAATGCATGGGTAAATACCACACGATTGTCAAGAACCACAGACCACTGCCAGACAGATATGTAGTCTAGCGGATATGAGCACACAGGCTGGAGCAGCTTTAGAAGACAACATCTGGAAAGGGAAAGGGGCAGCTCTCTGACAATGAAGGGACTCAGTTCACACAGCTGCATGGCAAAGCTGAGCTAGGTCAACCTGGAATCCTGTTCTCTGCTTTTTGTACAATGTCTTGGCACTAGCACTGTGGTTTGTGCAAACCAGGGCTGTCAGCTGTAGCCCTTTTGCGAATACATGAAGACAAGTATTTCTTTCCTGTATTGCAGCTATAATTCTTACTTTTTTTTCTTTTTCTTTTTGGCTTTGATCTGCTGGGAGTTTGGCTTACAAGGAAAAATGATGTGTACTCATTGGCACACAGTGCTGTCTTCTAGGAACTCAAGAGTTATTGGATTGGATCACATATTCATTCACCCCACTACCAGAATGAGAGTAGCCAACAGCAAAAGCTGCAAAGGAAAACATAAGAAAGCTTCTTTGAGAAATTCACTACCCCTGGGGAAGCTTCTGTTGAACCTTATTAATTAGAGGTTAGTTTATGCCCTGGAGCAGGAGACATTAAATCCCTTATAAATATGCATGTTTGTTCTTCAGAACTTCGGAATAATACAGAGATGTTGTACAACTGACACCATGCCTGAGAAGCATGCAAGTGTTCGCTCCGTTTAACAGATGGGCAAACAGGGAAAGAAGTCAAGCAGCTCCTCTGCAGTTCAGTCAGCGGGCAGACTTCTGGTGGCACTGGCAGGTGAATAACGCGACAGGCAGTTTCAAGCTCTCCTCCTGAAGGTGGCTAGCTGTATTACCTAATTCCTGCTGCACGGCCCCTCCGAGATTAATTTCCTCTCCTGCAAAATGGGTGTGTTTATCTACCCACTTAATGAGATTTTTAGAACTGAATAATATTTATATTACACAATTATTATGCATTACTGATACTACACAATGTTAGAAGAAGGAAGAGATGCGCTGCCAAGGGATTATTAAATCATTAATTTCACCACATTTCTAGAAGCTCTGTTCCCCATAGAGCTCTGTCAATGCGTCTCTTCTCAGCTAGAGCATCCTTTCAAAATAGTTCCAGGCTCTTGTGCTTAAATCTAATAAACAAGGCTGGGAGTGCAGTAAGCACGCAGTGTATACTGATTTAGACAGTAAATTTTATACTGAATTTTTCTCTTTTTTTTTTTTTTTTTTTAATTTTCCCTTAAAAGTCTGTTTTGACCAACTACTAAGAAATTGGGAGCCTTGAAAATCTCCAATATGGTCTGGGAGCAAGGATAACTGTAAAATTTTAATATCCTGTTTCCAGAAAAGAACAGAGAAAATGACTCTGAAAGAAAAAAAAAAAAGGAAAAAAGAAAGAAAGAAAGAAAAGATTTATGCAAGAGCACACAGCTTTTGTAAGATAATCATCAGCAATTCCTCAAACCAGAGAACCAGTCCTTGGTCATATCGATAGAACTTTTGGATGATATCAATGCAGGTCAAATTTCATACAGAGAGAAGAACACAGGATGCTGTCTTCAGAACTGCAATTACAGCACAGGTTGTGCTATGTGAACTAGCCAGGATCACAGCCAGTTTGGTTGTTAAAAAGCATTGAAACCCTAACAGCAGAGTTCTTGAATGTCAAAGGAGTATCAGAGCTTATCCAGCCTGTGCTGAACCATGGGTTGCAAAAGATTTTTTTCACCTGGTATTAGGGCTAAGTAAAAGCTGGCAAGCTCACCTCAGTGTAAATACAATCCATATGTTCTTTATGCACCCCACAGTTTGCTCTTTTGTGTATTTCCAGTCTGATCACTGGTTTTATAACCCACTTTGACCACTTATGACTCCCTGTCCTTGCCAGAAGGCAAAAAGATAGCATATGGAAGAGTGAGCATCTCGTCCTTAAAGTCCAACAGCCTTACGTGAGGGTTTAGATAGAAGGTGTCATGCTCCATTCTCACAGGCCTGGAAGATGTAGAAGTTGGCTCAGGGGAAGGTAGATTGTGGAAGCAATAAATAGGAAAGAAGCAAAGCTGGAACAGGGAGCAGTTACTCTGACTTGTGCATCTAGCACAGCAGAAATGGAAAATTGCTGTGAAGTGGTGGCTGAAGGAAGGAAGGAAGAAAGAGGGGTTCAGAAGGAAGAGAAGTTAAAAAAATAAAAAGGGAAGCAAAAACTCTAACTGTAGTAGTGTGAACAGCAAATGAGAGTAGTTTTATATTTTGTCAACTCTACAAAACACCCACCTGTTCTGAACCAGAACTGACTGCTTCAACAGTTCCTTATCATGGTCTGATATCTCTGTGCATAGCTAAAGCCTGCCTGAGTTAACTGAAAGTTTCTTAGACCTTAACTCTCTGTAATATAGTACCTCGGCTTCAGGAAATGATATTAATCAGTTACGATACATACCAAACCCAGCAATTTATGTTGCACAAAAAGCTTTTCTTCCTCCTCCCCGCCTCTACCAACAAACTATTTCTTCCAGTAGCATCAAGCTGAGCTTGTGGATATTAAGTTTTCAGTGCTAGTCAGTTCCAAGGAGTTGGAAGGTAGGACAGTTTAATTATTTTTAATGATCTTGATAGAATCTTTAATTCTGATCCATGTAATAATGGAATTCAAGAGAGTATTCGCCCCTGAGAAAAACAAAATTGGCAGAGGGAAGCTGTTCTGTAAACACAGCATGACGCATTTCCAAATGAATGTGGAAGCTTTTCAGGGATCTCTGTCCCTACTGAGCAAGTACTTATGTGCCATCCTGAACAAGGACAGATGTAGCCATGTGTTTATATGCATGGAGGCCGTGACAGAGCCAAACCTAATGAGTGCCTAGGGTGCTGCTGCAATAGAAGCAATAGTTTTGGGCTAAGACAGAAACTGCTTCACTACAATCTTTACCAGGGTGCCAGTTCAGATGGATAACATCACATTACTCGTTTTCTTTAATACTGTAGGTTTTGTGTCAGGAATATTTTTAATCCATTCCAGATCAGTTAGTTAACTATTCATTATAGAGGAAATAGGTGAAATTACTTCATTCGTGTAGTTCTTTTATCTTACTCAGTTTGCACAGTTCAGTTCAAATAAACAAGTAGAGTCCCGGCAGCAAAAGCATAATACAAATGTATTGCTGCAAATGAAGTCTGAAAGCAATACAAAATTATCTTTTCAAAACGGAAGATCTAAATTTATGGCTTGTTAGACAAGTCTAGGGTAAACAGTTTTTTCTAAATGAGCCAAAATTACCTGAATTTTGCGGATTCTTCTGGTCTCCTTATCCACGTGCAGTTCTGTAGCTTTTTGACTATGTGAAGATAATAATCTTCTGAATATCTAAAAAAAGAAACAACATCAAACACTTGAATATATATATATTTAGAATCAGTCTCTAAAACATTCAAATGATGCATGTATTAATAATAATGCGCATGGTGCATATATAATAGTTTGCTTTTAGAACTCCATGACCTATTTTATTTCCATAATTTATAACTGTACTGTCTTCATTTAATTAGCATGACCTATTAAACATTGGTTCTTAATAATGATGTCCTAATGAACTTTTCTTTTCAGAAACTTTCAAATTACTCTGGTTTCAAACGTAAGTATTCAACCATAAATATCTTGAAGTTATTAGATGCCTCAAAAATTATCTCTTGTACAAAAGTCCAAAATAATACAAACCCCCTGTTTCTTGTATTTGGTGTTTTAAACTTCAAAACTATTTGATGTGTCTCTTGGAAACAAAGACTAAAATTACACTTTTTAAGCCTTTTCCTTCTTACACCTTATCCAGTCCCCAAAGCTCAATTCAGTCATCTAAGACCATAAACCAACATTTACAGATATAAGGTTTCCTTCAGACTATCTTTTAAATTAAAAAAAAGTGTTTTACATCAACCAGAACTAAGCACCATGGGGTACATGTACCCAAAGAGTTGTACGCTCTTTTTATGGGTTGTTTCAAGAGATTTAAATTTGTCCATATGTGAAATACTGCAGACCGTGTAACCAAAACGAATTGAGACATTTCTTCCCCGGTTCAATGTTAACTCTCCCATTTGTGCTTGGTTCCTACTATAAGGTTTTTAAAAACAATGACTTTGACTTAAAAGGAGGACTGGGCAGATGGAATAAGAGATGACGTGGATGTCAAGGCTACAAATTCTATGTGACTCATGTCTCCAGCAAATATCTACCTTGTACCATTCTAGCAAAAATGGCTTAGTGTTGGCCCAAAACCAAATGATTATGAGTTTATTTAACCTGGAACTTAGAAGTGTGTATTTCAAACAACCTTAAAACAAACGTGGGAAGGCACGAAACCTCACTTGTTTTTAAATGGAGCATGAGAACTGATAAAAAGAGAAACGAAAAGGCAATGATGGCTTGCAACAGAAGAGCACTCAACAACCCAAAAGCTTCCTTCTCTCTCCACGTTCAACATGCTTTTAGTACCACAGCTTTATGGTAAACATTTGAAAAAGCAGAACCCTTTTCTTTTTGTTTGTTTGCTTCATAAAAGTACAGCTATGGCTAGAGTAACCTGCTTTGTCTACCCCAGAGTAAAATTGCTTTGCATTTCCACATGGCAAAAGAAATGAAAATTTCCTAGAGGAATTCTGCACCAGAATTGTTTTTTGCCTCAAGTTTGCACCTGTGACAACATGCATGATGTTCACTCTCTACGCACAGATACAGGAAGCATTACCAGACACAGAAAACACCTAAGGAACTAAATCATTGTAACCAAACTGATTTTACTGAGCCTCTTGCACAGCTATAAGAGAGTAGGAAGAAATGGGCTGAAGTGGGAGCAGCGTGCAACTGGTTTCATTGCAGCTGTGGCCAGCCTGACCTGCTGCAGTACCTTCCTCCTCCTTCCACTCCAACTCCATGTCTGCTCTCCCCCTTGTGCCATGGCTGGTACTGACTTGACGCCACCTCTGTTGTGTTTTTACCAGCTTTTGCCCTGGGGAAATATCTCCCTAGGCCACTTTTAGTCACTACCATGGCAAAAAAAAAAAAAAAAGTAATATAGAAGTAAATAAAAATAATAATAATAATAAAGCATATATATTTTCTTCTGCTTTAGTGCCTTAAACTGCATCAGGAAAGACCCCATCACACACCATTGCCAGTGTAAGAAGTGACAGGAGTGGAGAAACTGGGAACGAGGCCTTCCTACTTTGGCAGCTGCCTGCTGGTACGTTGTGCTAGGAGCCTTGCAACTGCAGCCACAGACCATGGAACTAGTTTCTTGCTGAAGCAGCCACCCAAACTGGCTCGTCTGTGGGGTCAGAGGAGCACCAGCAGCAGCACAGGGCAGGACAGGCAGCGTGTGAGCAGGGGACGGTGGGAGAGAAGCAGAGGATCTGAACAGCCTATGCTAACATTGAATCACTCGTCTAGTTTTGTTCCTTAAGGCTAAACAATAAATAAATCTTAGATGTTGGGACTTAAGGTAAAAAAAAAAAAAATCAAAAAATTAATAGGATAACAGAGTGTGAAAATTTACTTAGGCTATCATTATCTAGGAGAAAAAATATAGGGAAGGGAAAGCAAGTTCTAGCCTGAAGACATCTATAAGATGAAAATAAGAGTCAGAAACAAATAGGAAAATTACCAGGAAGAAATGGCATGGACTGACAAGTTATTAGCAAGTTACAGGGAAACATTTCATGTGGATTAAAATCAAAGCATCTTCCACAGCGCTAGTATTAAGGCCTCATGAGAAACACGGGCCTGTCAGAAACTGTGAGGGCCTCCTGCTAGGTGTAACAGAAGCTGTAAAGCTGCACCTAGGGTAAAAACACCTCTCACAGCGCAAGGACACTGCTGCCTTTCCACTGCTCTGTGCTGGATGGAAATCACTTGCCCAGAGGTGTCCCAGGGCTCACCAAGAAGCCACCGTTCCCAGGTCCGTATGGGATGGAGCAACGCCTCTGCTCACCCTGTGCACCCAGTTCTGCTCCTCCTGTGACTTACAGAGACACCACGGCCTGTCAGACCTCATCTTTGCCCGTGCTGGCACAGCACCACAAGCATCAGAGATATCTCAGCAGCAAATCCCTGGGGACAGGAGCTCTGTGAGGCAGCTGCCACATCTGCCCGCAGCAGCGTAAGGCGTCCGTGCCGGTCAGTTCCGTGAAATGAACTCCACTTGAACGCAGACAATATTCCCATAGATTAATTTAATTTTATTTTTTTTTAAAGACTCAAAACGAAGCTCTGGGATTTGCTGCAGCTGGGTTTACAGCCCAGAAAGCTTTGTTTTCCTCTCGGAAAGCCTATTTTAGCATTTCCTGCTCTAAAGGAGCCTCAGGGACACGCTCCAATGGAATCAGTCCAGGAAGGCCATCAAGATATTATTTCATGGCTCTGCTGTAACCTAGACAGTCCTTTTCTCCACTGTTTCATTTTAAAGAGCTGGAACAATACGTGTATTTCCACTGGCACCTGAAAACTTAGAGTACGTGTTCGATGATGCTAAAATATCTTTATTATTAAGTTAAATTGAACTCTAACAATATGTGGATGAGCCAGTAATTACAGTGCTGAGAATAGCGAAAGAAACATGTTCGGTCCAAGTTTTGTCTGCCACCTGCATCCTAGCCATTACAGAAATTTGCTCTTGTAGGAAACTCGCTTACACTGTTTGAGTCTTGCTGGCAAATAACACCTGGAAGGGGTTGGTTTTGCCTAGTACTCATCAAGTACACATTGGCCTTCTATGTTAAACGCCGTGGTTAACACGGAATTATTACGCATAGTTGAGGTACTGACAAAGTGCCTTCTAATTTTTGGCAGCTATCTAAAAGAAAACAGCAGGGACAGCATTGCTGAGATAGTAGGGGCACAACAAGTAAAACATCAGAGCAGACAGACAGATGCAGCCCCACTGGTTACTCACTAGAACTAACACCTACTTGAAAAAAAAAAAAAAATGCTATTTGATTTAGCAGGAAAATTGAGCAGCAGACGTTAAAAAGGGAGAACTTCCTATTTGGCAGCTTACATTCAAGAAAGAAACAAAACCAAAAAGAAAAACATCAGAAGGAAAAGCAAGAGAAATGGAGGATCTCTTGTGCCTTTGGAGACTTTAATACTATAAAAACAACTACTGGTTTTTAAAGCCCTCAGGAGGCTGTGCACAGAGCTTGCTCTAGAATGAAAATGGAAAGCTGCCAGCAGAACACAGCATTTCGAGCTCTTTTATCACCACCAGCACATACCTGTTATAATAATACTTCCCACTTACATAGCATTTTTTACTATCAAATCATCTGACAAGCTCTGAACTAGGATATTTTTCCAGTCTCTGCCAGCTCGAGAGGCCAGAGAGTCCAGAACATCCCTGAAAGTCTCAGGCTGCAATGTAAAGCATTTCTACACCATGCCCGTGGGTCACACATCGAAAACGCAGCCAACATCCAGCAGCTCCTCCCAGTGAAGGGCAATGAGTTGCACTATTCATGGCACAGAGCAATGCTCTGCTCTTTTGTTCCAAATACCAGTTGCTCTTCCCACCTGCCCATTAGATGGCTCACCTCCTTTTTCTTTAGCCACAAAATAAAGGTCTGGTACTTCCTCACGTTTCACCTACAAACTCAGCTTCAAAATGTTCTGGATGTAAAAAGCAAGTCTTCATTCCTACAGCCTCTACAGCTTTGTAATACACAGGATAACAGGACCTATACCACCAGAGCTGGATTTGGGAGCCAATATAGTGACTGCTTGTGCTTCTCTCGGCATTGAACAGGCGCTTCAATTATATTCTTTGCCCTCTGTTTGCCCACCTCTGTTTCAGCTCTCACTAGCAGTGGAATGGTAGCATGATACCATAGTACCACCTCTCGAAAGAGTAAAACTTCAATGATAATGTTGCTGATGAGATGGAACAGTGGCGGGAGAACAGGTTATAGAAGAGGAAAAAAAAAAAAGAACTGAAATAGTAAAGGCAAAATGCTGGTAATATAGTGACTTAAAAATGGGTGGAAGATCTTAAAATGCAAAGAGAAATTGAAGAGGGGGCAGAAAGCACAGGAGAACATTTAAAATTATGATTCAGTGGTTCTTTATTTTTTGTGTTAAGGAAAATTTTGACTTCCCCAGTCCTTTGAATTGGGAAAAGCACATAATTATTTTTAGCAGAATTTTTGTTTCTCATTCCATTCCACTTCTCTTCACAAATGAAGAAGAAGGAAAAAAAAAAAAAAAGCTTCCAATTTTAAAGACACCATAGCACATAATTAATTTTAAGCTGGCACTTGGTCCTAATAGAACACTCTTCTTACTCGCAATGTTTTATTTATTGCTGTATCCTTACTGGCACCATGTTACATGTCAAAAGTAATGGGCTGCTTTTCCTACCTCCACTTTAGCAAGTGGGAAGGAATTTGAGCAGGGCTGATAGCAAGGATTTTTTTCCATGTCAGGGAAAGGCAGAACAGCAAGTGGAAACCAGAAATGGAATTGTGTTTGTTTTGATGTATCTAAGATTGAATAATTAGTTTCCTGTGCACTAGTTATTATAATAATGAAAGCAATTAAGAAGTTTTTATACTAGTACATTTCTATACTTAATCTAGTGAATATGCTGAAAAGAACTACTAACTAAGGTTGCTCATAGCGGGAGTGTTCACCAATCAGGAAGAAGACATTCAAGAATGAAATGATGCCTCACAGATTCTGGTCTACCTTTTTGCAAATACCTTGTAAAAAATCAGAATGAGAAATCTTGTTGACTTACGCTGTGAATTAAAAAAGAAAATCCAACCTAGAATAAATATAACTTGTCAAAGAAAAAATGCAGGCAAACATTGGTTGAACAATTTCAGTTTCCTGTTGTGCTGTTCCACATTAATATCATAAAGAATTATGTGAAAGAGGAGGACAATATTTTAGGCTTTTATTTAAAACAAACAAAGCAGAAAGCACAGCAAACACCTACCTTTTCTTCTTGATTGATGATGATAAAATATTGTCCTGAATCGCCTTACACTTTGCAGCCTGTTCAAACTGGTAAATTCCATTTTTATTAGCAGTTGTTCTGTTAAAAAAGTGGGGTGGGAGAAAAAGCAACATGCTTTAAAAGAAAGAACATATTCTGACAGACCCGTTGCATTTACTTTGCTGTGACACTAAGATTAATAACTGTTAATTTAGCTGAAAACATTACCAAAGCAATCTTATTCACCTCTATTGTGAGGCTCTTGTATAAAATGAGAGTTTGCTGCTAGTGACTATAACATATTAGATTCCTTAAAGAAACTCTATTTCATAGTCTGAATTATATTTTCTGCTTTACACTGTAATCAGAAAAATGTAATTAAGAACTAAATGAAACAGGAAGCCTCTTGAACATTATGAAGATATTTAAAATATTTGTCATTAAAATATTCCAGCAGATGTGATTTCCTAAAGCTGTTGATGAAATGCAATATTCAGAGCCAATATAATATGTATAGGAAACACCACAGGTGAAGTGGATCATTTTACTTGGGCCTTAACTTATTGACTCGAGCTTAATACTTCCTTCCTTGTTTATTCTTTATTTACACAGTGAGAATAAATATTTGTAAAAGGAACCAATGCAAGTGCCAGACAGTGATCTTTAACTCCTGTTGCCTTATTTTCACCAAAATCCTGTGTGGTCCTCTTGCTTTGGCAGTCCTGCCAGCCTGAGCTGTAAATTAGTAAATGCCTGAGATACCACGGTCTTATTTCATTCACCTCAGTTCACCATGTACCCAGGTTTAATCTCATACAATCACCCTCCTCCTTCATCAACCTTCTGCTGTCCGTATTATCACTTATCATGATGTTCCTTCCTCCATCATTTTTATTTTCGCTGTTCCTCACCATCTTTCCACCTGCCTCATTCCTCTTGGTTTCCTTCCACTGACTCACTACTTACGGAGCACTTGGACACTGCAGCCTATTTACCCAAACCAAAATTAGAAATACGGGAGACACAGATGCTGTGTCATTCGTTCCTGGCTAGGAGCTGCAGCAGTGAACAGACCCCATGCTGTTCCTAGAAGCACAAGGGTCTTCGTGCTTCATACACATCGCAGTCTGCTTCTGCATCATCATTCTTTACTAACATGGACCAAAACTATTTTGGCTTCACCTGTTGAGGCCAGAGCTGGTTGTCCTGTACCATGTCCAAGTGGCTTTTGAAGATCTCCAAGGAGGGAAACTCCACAGCCCCTCTGAGCAACCGGTGCCAGTGCTTTGTCACCCACACAGCACAGGAGTGCTTCCTGATGCTAAGAGAACCTCCTGTGTTCCATCTTCTGTACACCCTCCTTTCAGGTGGTTGTACACATTGAGATACCCCTGAGCTTCCCCTTCTTAAACAAAATCCTAAACAGACATCGGTAGTGTGCCCAGGTGGCCAAGAAGGCCACAACGGCATCCTAGCTTGTACCAGGAATAGTGCAGCCAGCAGGAGCAGGGAGGTGATCGTCCCCCTGTGCTCTGCTCTAGTGAGGCCGCACCTCAAGTGCCACGTTCAGCTTTGGGCCCCTCACTACAAGAAGGACATCAAGGCCTTGGAGCATGTCCAGAGAAGGGCTACGAAGCTGGTGAAGGGTCTGGAGCTCAAGGCCTGTGAGGAACGGATGAAGGAACTGGGGGTGTTTAGTCTGGGGAAGAGGAGGCTCAGGGGAGACCTCATTGCTCTCTACAACTCCGTGAAAGGAAGGTGTGGAGAGCAGGGGGTTGGCCTCTTCTCACAGGTAACTAGTGACAGGACTACAGGGAATGGCTTCAAGTTGTGCCAGGGGACATTTAGGTTAGAAATGAGGAGAAATTTCTTCTCCGAAAAAGCAGTCAGGCTTTGGGACAGGTTGCCCAGGGAAGTGGTGGTGTCACCCACCCTGGGGGTGTTCAAGGAAAGGAATAAAGCACTTCTTTCCGTTGCCCATAAATTTGCCCCCCAAGGAAGCATGCCCCTTGTTGAAGGCAATGGTAAGACCACACAGCGTAAACCACTGCCCTTTGAGTTCTGCAGTGACTTTAATGTGTAGTAACAGCTGGCACTACCCGCCGAGAGCTCCATGGCTGACTTTGCACACAGCTTTTTATCTAATTCTTTTTCAAGGAGTGACACACAAGGGCGAGGGCAGAAGGCTCTCAAAGCACACAGTTCAGGGGGTCAAGCACACAACTCTCCCGGTCATACATGGTAAGTGACAGCAAGTATTCTGCTTACAACGTTTGGGTACACAGGTTTATTGTAGCTTGGCTTGAGTGGCTCTGTGTACACAGAAGAACCAGGTGGGCTGCCCCTTCCTTTCATAGAATAAACCAATGCCTGTTCCCAAACAACTTTGTTTAGTGCTAATTCATATTTCCTCTCCTTTGCTTCTTTTAACTCAGCAGGCTGGAAACGATCCTTCTAAAGCTGCAGCTTCAAGAAAGAGAAATAGCTACAGGCAAAGCTTAGCTGCATAAACAATACCTAAAAAAAAAGAACTATTGTTATCATAAACCAAGCGCATGTTACTGCTGCCAATTGTCTCTAATTACAGCTGAAAATCAAGACATTGGGCGCTGCCTTGAGAAGTGGCCCTGGCCAGCTGTGGTTCAGAAGGGCAAGAGGAGATCACCTTCACCATGAAGCCTGCCAGGAAGACCACGTCAGGAGCTGGCTTGCAGGTTTGATCAGGTCACTGCTGGGTGCATTTGTAGGCATTTCTGGAGAAGAAACATCCTTTCACAAGCAGGATTCAACCGTGTGCAGAGAAGGGCCTTACAGCTCCCTGATAATTTATGTCCCGAGGTCAGTGGACGCAGTGAATAACATTCTCTCAACCAAATAAAAGCTTTATTCAACAGACTTTTAGCATTTTAAATTCATAGCGCTAAGATCAACTGAAGCGCGTTGCCTTGTTTTTTTCATACATAATTGTTTTTTATGCACACATTTACAAGAATTGAAAAATTCAAGAAGGAAGAATTCAGATAAAAAAGAATGAGCAAAATAAATTGCTGTTCCATTTTGTCATTAAACCCTGACAATCACTTTTATAGCCACCAGTGGAAGGAAAAGGAAAAAGGAATCTTCCCTTCCCTTTCCATGATCCATATAGAGACTGGTGAAAATGGCACAGCTGTAGCAAAAAACAAACATACTTTTTAATCCACACTCTTTATCCATACAATGCAGACACAAGACAGATCACCAAAATATTTCTGCTGTGTTTTTTTTTCCATACAATTTTGACTCAATGCAAAAAGACACACAAATAAAGCAACTTATTTGCAAGGCATGCAAAACAATGACTTCTTCCAGTAAAGGTTAAACTTTTGAATTCCTCTTTCACCATTAGAGTGGCCTCTGCTTCACATGAGCAGAAGATTTTTGCATTCAAATAAAAAGGGGTGTGCAAGGGGCATTCCAGACTTCCACTGCATTATTCATTGCAGAGTTGTGCAGACATCACACTCAGATTAGATTTCTGATCACTTTGGACGGTCATGCCAGGCAATATTTATCACTGCATGAATTTATATGGCTAGTGGATGACAGTTTTTGTTCAGTGCTTGGAACGGCATGGAAACTTTTTCAATGAAATCAGATAACATATCTAACAACGCAGACATCAGGCTACATGCAACTGACTTTGTAAACTCCAGCTAGATGAGAACTTGAAGGGGAAACCATGCCAACCAATCTGTTGGCTCAAACATGTAAAACAGATGAAAGGTCCAGTTTCTGATAAAATTCCTTTAAAGTTTTAGATGTTCTCAAAGCCTATCTTACTCGCCCAAATCTGAAAGTAGGGTGGTTTTGTGTGTTGGGTTTTTTGGTGTTTTTTTTTTTTTTTAAATTGTGTATGAACAGCTTGAGGGCTACATCCTTCCTATGGTAATTCTAGAAACTCAGAAAGTACACCATCTGTACTTTAATAAAGCCACAGTACATTAAGATCATGTACCATATTTATCAGTATGCTGTTATGCTATATGTTACTCACAGGAAGACAGAATACAGCATTTCCTCAAACTGTAAAAGCCTTTAAGACATGGATTGCACCCACTTCCATACAGTACTATGGACTTCACATGGGGTCTAGGTCGTAAGAGTCAATGCACACAAGTAAAATGTAAATTCTAAAAAAAATAAAATAATAAAAAAAATCAATGGAAATTAATTGACCACAGCAAATACACTGTTAGTCTGTGTGTCCAGCTCAGGAGCTACATGTGTCTTCTCTCAGGAGGATGGTGCTAGCAAATGAAAGGTAACCAGGAAATAGGGAGGGAAAAAAAAGAGCGTGTTACTGTTTGTAATCACATTCCAGCAACTGGGCTGGAGAGGCAGGTTGCTCCAGAATACCCTTTTACATTGAGAAACTGTATAGGAAATGCATGGCCCCTTTTGCTGTACCTATAGCATTCAGTCCTGGGACTGTAAGAGGCCTTGGTGCTGGGAGTCACCAGACAGACAGGTACCTCTGGTAACATGGAGTTCTAGGGAAGCAGTGGTATGGCAATGGAAATAAAAGAGAAGCCCCTTAAAAAACAAACAGATACGATTCCCCTAAAAATGAGGACAGTAGGGAAGTGGATGCATATAGGGTGGACAAAATACAAAAAAAAAAAAAACCAACGATGTATGGCAGGAAAAAAATATGGAAAGGAAATATAGCGCTGCGACCTATACCATAACAGAGATATGCTGAAGGCTCAAAGACCAGTCCTCCAGAATTCCCACAAAAACAGCTGGAAACTATTAAAGAATTTGGGATGAGATCTTTGAAAGATCTCGGGACTCAGCTGCCTCGCAGCACCACAACAAACAATAACTTCACTCCTAATTTCCAAAGGAGTTAAGTCCACACTGAACATCAGAGAAAAATCCCACTCTTTGGCTTTATTTACTCGCTGCCCAGCAAAACTAGTTGTTGCATTTTTTCCTGTGTCTTCCCGTTCTTGTCTCCCTGATGTAGCACAAAACCTGTGAACTCTGTTCCGGCTGAGCATCTCCAGCTAGGCAGGCTAACTTCTGCATGCACAACTACACACTCACATCCTTCTGGCACTATACAGATTGTGGATACCTTCTAGCTTAATCTCTCCCTTGAAGTGATTCATTTATATTTGAATCTCATACTCTACTAGTTGAATACTAGTTGTTATAAAACCTGTAATCCTTACTTCCCTGGGAAGCGTGCTCTTCAGAGCTGTCTTTGACACCACTTCAAAATGAATCAGATGAGAAGAATATAGTGATGTTTTTAAGGTTCACAACACCTTGATTAATAAGGCAATACACAATTTAAATGCTTGGTGAAATGGACTATGAAAATGGCTTTATCAAGCCATATTTGTAAGGAATAAGAATTTGTCTTTTAAAATTAATCACAGTAACTGTGAAAGAGACTGATCCTACTATCCTTGTTCAAGTTCCCATGGAGCTTTTGCTTATCTAAGGAATGCTAAATCAGGTCTTTAAGGCAAGCTGCGTTTTGAAATTATTTGGTAGACCTTCCAGTGCATTCACAAACATTATACATGACATCAGATACTTTTTATTTATAAAATCCATTAACCGCATGGCATACAACATGGAAAACAGTGTTCAGAGTCTCACGGTGGGTAAAGTGAAAAAAAAAAGGTACTTACACCGAAATGATGTTACAATCATACATGATAGACAGAATGACAGAGCAGTTTCACTTGGACCAAGTAAACAGAAAGGGGAACAGAAAGAGGCTGGGAAACCTTTCACCACTGTCAGAACATGAATGTGTCCAGGCAGCAGCTTTCTGCTGAACACCTATTCATTTACACGGAACTAATACACGAGGCATGCCTTAGAAATGTGCTTTTAAGATATGTCTGCATGCATCACTTGGGAATGAAGGGAAAGAATACTAAAACAGCAGTAAAATTAGTGAAGTGGTCACCAATGCTGACTAATCTAAACTGTAGCAAATTATTTGTGCAATAAACTAAGCTACTGTTTATAATCTTGGTAATAACCCATCTCTTCTTCCCTTTCTGTCTGCCAGGATGCAATATTTTGACAGGAGACTGAATGTACAGGTCTCTGTAGCATAGTTAATTAAGTATAGTTGTTTATTCCCTAGGCCTGCATAAAGATCTACTGCTGAGGGAGGAATTGGGGAAAGGAGAACTATGAAACCCTGTATCAATACTAACTTGTTTACTCATAGCTCCTCAATCACTTCCTCCCACTGTTCAATTACCCCAACAGCCTCTACGCTGTGCTTGCCTTCAACCTGCAAGGACAGAGAGTAAATTAGGAAAATAGTAAGAGAGTGCCCTAAAATAGGCAACGCTCACAGAATAAAAGAACAGCGGTGGTCAGTTCTTCAGGGTACTGCTGCCTTGTTAGTGCTCGTATATAAAATGTACATACATAGTGCTTGAAAAGGCTATTTTCACCTTCCTGGTAGGAGCTGGAATTATTTATCTGCTCGATATGCCACAGTGCAAAAGGAGCTGGAATTCCTGTTCAACCTTAATGTAGCACACTCATGGCAGCTCCATGATGAGGGAAAGACTACCTAGGTCCTCTCAATATAGACATCCTCCCGTGATGAGCACTAGCACAAACACAATCTGCTGGCACAAACACAAGCAGGGAGGGAAAACTGAGTGTCTAAAGGTGGGACAAGCGCAGGATTACTTTTTTGGTTGCACTGTTGGCCTAGGCAAGTTTAAGCTGTACCTGCAGTTACAGCTTAAAACATGAGGGGATGGTATGAGGCACAGACATGAGGATTTGCTAGAGAACAATCCCATTGCAGTAAAAATGATACCAGTTACATGAAAAAAAATATTGGGGAACTACTAGAGAAGTCTTGCTAGCAATGGTTGTGTTTTCACTAAGAAACCCTTCTAACAGATAGAGGCTGTGAAGTAAATCCAAGGCAAAAACTGGAAATCACACTGCAGAGGCAGTCACATTCTTTGAGATTTGTAACATTTAGCAAGGAAAAGCGGTATGAAATGTCTTGTAAGAGACAAAAACACATCTTCAAGGTTACCATGATCTTCAGAGAACTTAGGTGCCCAGTCACTGTCTAATTAAACACTGCTGCACATAGTAGCTGCCTAGATATCTAAGACAGTCTGAACCAAGCTCCTGCTTTCCATCCTTTCATCTTTCAGTTTCATCCTTTTAAAAGAATTACTCAAAGTGAAAGAGCAGATTAGCTTCCATTATTGCAAGGCAACAGAATAATAGGGTCTTAGAGATTCTTCAGGAGATGTTTGATTACAAATATGCATCCAACAGCAAAGGAAATCACAATAAGAGCAAAGGTTAGCTTGCGATTCTAAAGATCACCTAAGCTACTAATTCTGATTGGAGTTCAAAAAGGAAAGTGGCCTTTTTTTCCCCCCTCACTGCAGTTGGTGACAAAAATATTAGCTTGCCAGAGAAATGCGTCAAACTGATGAAGAGATCAGAGTCTAACCTAACACCTATGCACATCCTCTTATTCTTACACAGGGGAGGACGTTGCTGTCAGCAACACAGCACGGCTGCTCAAACCTTCAGGGTACTTTTGGTGCAGCTTTCCCAAAGTGTAGTTCTCCTAAAGATTGTTCCTACTTTTATGCATCAACATACTAACTGTGTCTCATCTGATTCAAAAATCCACTAATCCCTACACAAACTTTCAGCCATGGACTCTTCTGTCCTTTTGCCATACTCATGGAGACTGCAACAAAATCCCACCAAAAACTGGAGTCTAATTCCTACTACCCACATCATTCATCTCCATCACTGAGGGATTGGTCTGAATCTCCTGAACGAGTCCAGATGCTCTCTGGATCACATCTCTCCAGCATGGCCCTCAGCCAGGCCCAGTCCAGCTGCTGTCTGGATGAAATCCCTACAGCATGGCTCCCTGCCCACTCCAGCTGCTCTCTGGATTAAATCGTGGCTCCTGGTCAGTCCCGCAGCTCACTCTCTCCTTCCTCAGATGCCAAACATGTGCCACAAACTCCTGTAAGGACAGCCTACCAAGCACAGTCACTCAGGTGAGAAAGAACATCCCCTTTCGGACTCAGCCAGCAAGCCATCCCTCCACTCTACTGCTATTGGAGCTACAGTGAAGTGAAGCTTTTTGGAAGAATAATTCACTTATTGTACTTTTGCAGTCACTTAGTCACTAAAATATATGATTTCAGGTTGAGGGAAACTGGCTCCACTTTGGTGTCAGAATCCTTCAAGCAGTTTAATGAAAAACATGTATTTAAAACCTCACGCTCGCTTGCCTTGTTACAGAGATTAACAACTGACCCATGCACACGGTGAATTTTCAACCCTCTCTGGTATGTGTTGCTTCCACTTTCTTTGCTCCAGTTGTGTGTGTACTAATAGCAGATGGGAAGTGGCTAGATTCTGCTCTCTGAAGTGCTCTCTGCCAGCAGCATTTCTAGTCAATTTGACTCCATGGTTTAGCACACAGAGCTGAGTGGCAGGAGACTGCAGCTCAGAAACAAGCAGGGAAAGGCAGAGTATGAGAAGACGGTTGCAGGGGGGAACCACAGACATAACACAAAACAGAGTGGAAATGAGAATGGAGAGACAGCTAGAAAAAAAAAATAAAAAAAAAAAAGCAGAACAGAGCATATACTGCAAAGCCAATAAACTGTAAGGAGTGGAAAAGAAGGGAAAGAGGCAGAAAGGGAAAAATGAACAAGGAAAGAGAAGCAGGCTAGAAGAACATAATAGCAGCTCGAAGTCTGCAAATGCTCCTGTTCTTTCCTTTCACTCTGATTTTGAACAATGTTACAAACTTATGGAAGTTCAAAACATTGAGGCGTGAAGCACAGGGGTCTCTCACTGGAAATGTATAATAGACCTACTGTTGGGGTACGTTGCAAGGGTTATTAAGACTACTGTCACTTGCATTCACTTAAAGAGAGCATATGCTGTTTCAGCCTCAAATTTCAGTTAAAATAGATGAAATGCTGGCCTCAGAAAGGTTGCCTGCAGAGTCACCACTGATTTCAGTATAGCCAGGACATCGCAGCTTCAGTTAAAGACTCAGCTCCCATGTTCTTTCTGTGTTTTTTTCTCCCCCCATTGGAACTGCAATGCTAACATGGTAATATAACGTAAAAGACAATATTTGCAAAAATATTTGCAAACTACTTCTTAGATGGCAGCATCTCACGTGGGGATGCACCATCCCCTTCTGCACTATTAGTTTTCCTACAGTGCGCAAAGACTCGAGGACAAAAACACCGGTGTTACCGCTGATACCTGCACGTACGGCACAACTTGTTTCACAGCTGATTTAACCAGGTATTTTCTTATCAAACTTCCAGTGCAAACTAGCAGGCTGTAAAGCAAAGATTTAGGGTGATGCAAAAGACCGAGGCATGGGATCGGACTAAAGGACTCCTGAGAAGATGCTCCGCGAAATGGCAAAGGCTTTGCACAGCTGGCTTCCAGCCCACTTAGGATTTTGGAGGAGCAACGTGTGTTTTTAGCAGAGCACATATTACAAACGTGGTCACAGCGCTACCCAGCCCCAGCCCCACCTTGGTTTTAAGGTGGATAAAAGCACCTGGAAGGTGTCTGCCAGGACTTTTTGCACCGGCTGTAACCAAGCTGCCACCCGCAACATTTCCCCGGGCTCAAAACCAGCGCCCACGAGGCCCCACCATGGGACCCACACACCCCGGGCAAAGTGGATTTGCGCCTTCTCAGCCCCATGGGCTCGCCCCGATGAGGATGCTAAGATGCCCACCCCCGACAGAAAGGCTGAAGGAGTGGGAGCAGGGGCAGGTGAGCGCTCCCGCAGACCCTGAGTAACGCAGCCACCTCCAGCAAGCAGCCGGGCAGCCCCTACCTGTTCCCGCTGCGAGGAAGGGGCGGCGGGGGGGCTCTGAGGGCTCGCACCACTTTCGGCGTGCCGGGCGCTCCTTCTGCCTCCTCCTCCCAGCCCCTGACGGGAAAACAAAGTTGACAACACCGCTGCCCGAGCCCCCACCGCCCGCCAGCCGCGCCGCTCCCTGCCCCACGAAGCTCCGAGCCCAGCCCCATCCCGCTCCTTCTCCCCTCGCCCTTTACCTGGCTCGGAGCGGCCGCTCGCCGCCCAGGCGCAGGAGGCAGGCAGCCAGCAGCAGGCTGCCCAGCGCCGCGGCCAAGGCGATGACAGCCCGCATGGTGCTCTCGGCAGCGGCTCCCGCCGCAGCGGCGGCCGCCCCATAGTATTTAAGGCGGGCGGCGGGCAGGGGGAGGCGGCCATGGCAGCACAGGGGCGCCGCGCCCCGCCCCTCGCCCTGCGCCGCCGCCATCAGCCCCCCTCCTGCCTCAGCGCCGTGCCGCCCAACTTTCCCCTCAGGAGGAGGCCGCCGTGTGGGGTTGGAGCCCTATGGGGCCGCCTCCTCGGCTGCCCCGCTGTGGTGCTGCGGGGCTCCCGTGTGGGGAGCGGGTCCTCCACCGCGGTGGTGGCGGA